GAGGGGAAATACACCGGGATAGGGACACAGGAGGAGAATCGCAATGGGGCCGGGAGGGGAAATACACCGGGATCCCGGTGCGCCAGGCGGGGATGCCCGGGATGCCGGGGGTGTGTGCGGGTCCCGGTGCGGGTCGGGGCGGTTCGGCGCGGGGGCGCTGTGAGGCCCGGGATGCCGCGGGTGTGTGTGGATCCCGGTGCACGGTGCACGGTGGGGGTCGGGGTCGGTTCAGCCCGGGCCCCGCCGCTGTCCCCCCTCCGTCCCCTCCGTCCCTCACTCACCGCGGGCCGGCCAGCAGCAGCCGCACAGCCAGAGCCAGAGCCASAGCAGCATGGCTGCGCCACGCCCCGCCCACCGGCCCGCCCCGCGCTCCCCATTGGCCGGCTCCTCCGGCGCTCGCTTTCTATTGGTCTGTGCCACCGTCAATCACTTGCCGGCAGGCGCGGGCGGCTCGCTGTCAGCGCGGTGTCCTCTGCCAAATTGTGATCTATTCTATTTCCCCGCTCTGCGCGCCCTCCTCCCGGCCTGCCAAATAGTGACTCACGGCCCGCCCCCGGGAAGGTTCTGGGCGTGCGCGGTGCATTGTGGGGCGGGGCCGGGAGCCAGGAGCCGCCGCGATGATGGTGAGTGATCCCCGCGCCGCCGGCATCMTCCGCCATCCGCCGCCATCCGCCGCCATCCGCCGCTGTCCCCGCGTCCCGCCACCCGACACGGGCCGCAGGACCCCGCCGCCCTGCAGGGACCGCGTGTGGCGGGATGGCGGCGGGCAGGGCGGCGGGGATGGAGCCGCCCCGCCGCGCAGGCCTGGCGGTACCCGGGATGTGCCGGGCGGGTCGCGGCCGCTCCCCGCCGGCTCCAGGCTGCGCTGGCTGGAACGGGTGCGAGCGGGAGCCCGGAGCTCCATCCCGCGGCTCTGGTCCCCGCAGCCCTGCAGCCTCGGCCCCGGGGCCCTCCGGCCCTGCCCGCCCCTGCTCCGAGCCCCGCGGTGATGGATGAGCCTCCCTCCTGCTTCCTCGTGGATAAACGGTTCCGTTTCTATTGAGATCCCTGCTCTGCTGGGTGTGGAAGTGTGTTTTCTTCTACAAAATCTCTCCAGGATTCGGGGATCACAGAATAGACAGGGCTGGAGATTACTCAGTGCAGCCCCCTGCCCAGGCAGGGTCACTGGGAGGGGGTGACACAGGAACGTGTCCGGGTGGGTTTGGGATTTCTCCAGAGGGGACACTCCAGGGCCTGTCTGTGCAGCYGTCCCAGGGCTCTGYCACCCWCYGTGCAAARAAGTTCYTTCTCATGTTGAGGTGGAACTTAACTGTGTTTTARTATCTGTTCTGTCACTGGGCACAAGCAAAAAGAGTCTGGCACCAACCTYCTGACACCTCTTTGGAGAGATTTGYATGGATTGATGGGATCCCCTCTCAACCTTCCCTTCTCTGGACTAACCAAGCCGAGCTTCCCCAGTCTCCACTTTGAGAGATGTTCCAGACCCCCAGTCATCTTTGTGCCCATCACTGAACCCTCCTTTCCAGCAGCTCCTTGGTTTGTAGTTGTGACCCCTCAGCACAGCAGCCATGGTTTCATTTTGTTCTCTGCCAAACCAGTGCATCCCAAATTTTGGTTACATTTGGGCTTTGCTCGCACTCTGCCTGTGAGATGGTTGCAGCACTCACAGAATGGTTTGGGTTGGAAGGGGTTTTACAGCCCATCCAGTGCCACCCCTGCCATGGGCAGGACACCTTCCACTGTCCCAGGCTGCTCCAAGCCCTGTCCACAGACACATCCAGGGATGGGACAGCCACAGCATCTCTGGTGCTTCCACCCCCCAGATTTGTTCAGTTCCTCACTGTCTCAATAATTCCTACATGTCCCGTCTCTTCCAGTATCAAAATCAGAACCTCACCAAAGTGCCCCGTTAATTTTTGGGGCAATTATTGTGTGGTCCCAGAATTGGTGGCTGCTCCAAGGTTATGGAAGCAGCTGGGTGAATTCCCAAGGCTGTGGGAGCAGTGGGAGGTGGAAAGCAGTTGGGTTTTGGGGGAGCAGAGGAATTACAAGGATTCTGTAGGTTTGGTCTTGCTTTTGCGTGGTTGTGGCTTTGTGGGGTGAGTGACTCTGTGAGGATTTTGCTGTTGGCACTGGGGTGACAGCTCTCCCCTGGTTCTCCTGCAGCCCACTCCTGTTATCCTGCTGAAGGAGGGCACGGACACCTCACAGGGCATCCCACAACTGGTCAGCAACATCAACGCGTGCCAGGTGATCGCCGAGGCCGTGCGCACCACGCTGGGTCCCCGTGGCATGGACAAACTCATCGTGGATGATCGGGGTGAGCACAGACCTGGAAACATGGCAGTCAGCTCCCAGAGCAGTGTGTACATCATCTCTGTGGCAGTTAATCCCAGCATTTGCATAGATGTAAATGTCAGCATCCTTGGCCTTTGCTAAGCTTGGCTCTGACAGCAGAGTTTATTTTCTGTCTCAGTGAATTCAACAGCTTGGTATCCTCTGTAGAATAAAGGACAATTGTCAGTCCAGCCTGAGGATTCCCTGTTTGCTGCTGCCAGCCTGAGCTGGGGCACTGGGGAGATCCAGGTTCAATGGGATTGGATGTATCCAAGGTAACTCTGTGCCACACAGGAGAGACCTGACTGCACAGATTTTTGGTCATCTCTATTTTTAAATGAGGATCATGATACCTGTGAAATTACTCAGCACTTGTTGTGGCTGAGTGTGAGGTCAGTGTTCCTTGGTTGATTTTTAATCTTTTTTTGGAGTGTGATTTAGGGATGAGCTTTGCCCTYACTCTGAAAAGACTTGTATGAAGTYAGCAAACTAATTTTTTTTTCTTTGCTGAAGAGTGGGGTGAGAAGTCTTAATTAGTTTATTTTACTTTAATTACTTTGAACAGTTTTTACAAATAGGAACTGTAATAAATCCTTGTTCAAAAGGATAATTTGGTTTAAATTGATTTAATAAAATGATTTAAAGGCTCTTTCTTCATGTGAGTGTCAGACTAGAATATGGCTTTATCTGTTTGGGGAGGCTGTTGAGAAGAGGGAAATGAATTCCAAACTTTTGTTGATGTGGAGAGTTGCTCTGCTCTCAGTCTGACTTAACTGAGCCTGCTGCACAAATGGGCTGAAAAKACTCAGTTCTGATGGAAAAGAGGAWCYTGCTSAGACCCCCTAAGGCCCAGTGCCAAGGCTTTTACACCTGGTAGTGAAACTCAGCTTCCTTTTCTCTGYTTCCCAGGCAAAGCCACCATATCCAACGATGGAGCCACCATCCTGAAGCTGCTGGATGTCGTCCATCCTGCTGCRAAGACCTTGGTGGACATTGCCAAATCGCAGGATGCAGAGGTGGGAGGGGAGCCTGGCTGTGCCTGAGTGTCAGTGGCTCCTTGGGCTTTGTGTTCACTGGTGGGAA